AAAAAAAAAAAAAATTCATTACCATCCCTTTACTAAGGAAATATTCAATATCATCCCTCTACTTTTCTTACACCATAAATGTCATCCCTCTACTATCCTTTTTTTTTGTTCAATGTCATCCTTAATTAGATGCCATCCATTTTACTGTTAACTTTGACCGTTAATTGCCTAATGGTCAAATATTCAACTTTTATTTATGAATTTTCTAAAAGCACATATTAATTATACTTTTTTGTAATAAATTTGTATAAGAAAATATGAAAGTAAACATTAATTTTAGTGTCATTGTCACGTAAATAAATTTAATTAGATAGTTGATAAATTAAATATTACTTTCTATTTTTTTAAAACTTTTAATCGGTACCTTAAAAATATAAATTAGAATAACCCTTAAGACACAAATTAAAATAACCATTTGTTTATTAATTTTTTTATCCACCTAGTGAGACTAGTGGGACCAATTTCTTTATTTTTTTTGGTTTTGTATTATTATTTCTAGCTTTAGCACCTAAATTAACGGAATTCGTTAATTCTTTGTTAAAATTGAAATAAAATAATTATAAGATTAATCATTAAAAATTAAAAATATAACAATTTAATTCTAAAAGTTCAAAAATTATAAAAATTATTAAACTAAAAAGAATTAAAAGATGATTTTTTCACATATGCTAAAACATATACTAAAATAGTATTGGATATTTATAATTAAATCGAGTGATTAGTTTAATTTGGAGAAAGAATTTTGACTAAAATTAAAGAAAATTTCTTAATTGAATTAAGATAAAAAATTTAAAAGATTAGAAAAATATAACTAAGAAATTTTTTTTAATCTTAATTAGATTTCTTTAGTTAGATTGAGTTAATCATTCGATTTAATTATAAATATCTAACATTATTTTCATATATATGATAAAGTTATATACTAATTATTTTTAAGTTATTAATTTTTTTATTTTTTAAACTTTTGAAATTAAATTGTTATATTTTAATTTTTGATAATTGGTCTTATAAATATTTTTTTTATTTTAATAGAGAGTTAACAAATTCTATTAATGGATAAAAAATTAATTAATAGAAGTTAACTTGTGCTATATATCTCGGGTCAGTCCAATGCAAATAATTTTCTATTGTATTGCTTTAATTAGTGACGAAGGAAAAATGCTCAAGTTTAGATGTTAGACAGTTTTGTGAAAATTAAGAAACAAAGGGTTATTTTAATTTTTGTTTTAAGGATTATTTTAATTTGTATTTTTAGGATATCAATTAAAAGTTTAAAAAAAATAAAAAATAATATTTAATTTATCAACTGTTTAATTAAATTTATTTACATAAAAATAACACTAAAATTAATGTTCACTTTTATATTTTTTTATATAAATTTATTACAAAAAAATATCATTAATATATACTTTTAAAAAAATTCATAAACAAAAGTTGAATATTTGACCATATAACGGTCAAAGTTAACAAAATAGATGGCATCCAATAAAGGATGACATTGAACAAAAGAAAGATAGTAGAGGGATGACATTGAACATTTACTTTCGTAGGGGATAGTAATGAATATTTTCCCAAAGTAAGAGAACTACAATTGGCTTTAATCTTTTTGTTTTTCTTTTGTTATTATCATGACATATCATCCGCTTCGAGGAGGAATAATTATGCCTACCCCACTCCCGGCAAAAGGTACCCGTTTGCCCCTTAACTTTTCGACTTTTAGGGTTTTTACAATACATGGATTTTTACCCTCAACGTTTTCGAGTTGAGGAAATGAGGTAAAATTTAACGCCGGAACGTCACGTGTGGCACGTGCACCGTTGACCTCCATCAAGTATGCGCATGTCAGCGCCAACTCAGAATTTTTTGACGACTTGGCATGCCAACTTGGAACCCCACGAGTGGGAAGGCTACTTGGTGCCAATTTTTTTGTGGGCCCCACTGCTGATTAAAGGTTTTAAAAAAAAAGGTTAAATCCTTGATTCAGTCCCTTAACTTTCATTTTTAAACTAAATTTACCTCGAACTTCAAAATATTGTGACTTAGCACCA